AATGTCAGGTAAAATAAATATTAATGTTTTGTTTTTGAATTGCAATAAGTACGGAAATATCCAAACGCATTTGCGCAGACACCGAAATTGACGAAGTTGTCATTAGAGAATAATAAAATTGATGAAATCGATGCTAAAGCGTTTGCTCATCTTTCTGTTTTGGAAGAGTTAGATTTTTCGGAAAATAAATTAAATTCTTTACCAGAAGAATGGAGTAAATTTTTGATATCTCTAAAATATTTGGATTTGAGTAATAACATGTTTACTTCACTGGAATCTTTATCTCTGACAAGTTCGTTGCCTTTGATGGAGTTGTATCTAACGAATTCGCTAGATTATTTGAATGTTGAGTATTTTGAGAATTTGCCACAAAATCTTACTGTTAACTTTATACAAAGTTTACATTTTACACAAGTACCATGCAACAACAAATAAGTATTATTGATTATTTATTAAGTTTTTATCTATATTTTATTGCAGTTAACAAAATATCGATATTTGCGCAAAATTAATTTTTGTATTGTATAATTTGAATTTGCTGATATTATATTAATTAGCTTGCTGTATTTAATAATATCTTTATCATTTCTTCCAATTTTTATAAATATTAAATATAAAATCGCTGAGTAATTGTTAATAACCTAAACAATAAATTAATTTAGATATAATATAGATTATCTATATATAGATTATTTATATTATATCTAAATTAATTCATTGTTTGGGTTATTAACAATTACCCAACAATTTTATATTTAATATTATAATATCGATATAATATATAATAGATAATATCTATATTATATAAAATATATTTAGATATAATATTATAAATAATATTATGATATTGTGTGTTGAAAACATATTATAAATAACGTAAAAAATAAATAAAAATGATATAAGATAACAACACGGTTGTACATTTAATAAGCGTTTGCTTCCATTTTAAAATATTTTTTTAAGTAATAATTATTTGATGTTATAAGATGTTTCAATCCTAATGACAATAAAGCAAATGGATTGCTTTCATACAGAATATCGGCGGCAATAATTATGTCAGGCTCTCTCTCTCTATGACAAGCTCTTTGTCATATATTTAAAAATTATCTTCCCATCTCAATTCCACTACTTGAACATTGCTTTGTTGATATTTTAATTGCAACTTAATTCTTGACGTTGTGTCGCATATGTCCAGTAACTCACTGCTCACTTGACAGAAGATTGAACTTTATGTTCTTACAAAGCATATCGAGTGTTGTCAGATGCTAATTAGAGAAAACATATTACTTTGGAGAGTATAAACTAATAACATTCATGCCAGTTAGACAATCACGACTCCACAATCAAGTCTAACACATTTTTTCTATAAAACTATTCTGTGTTTTCCGCACACCATTTGCTTAATACTAAACCCTTGTTAGTTGCAATAGTAATTATTTTATTTAAATAATTTCTAGAAGTGTTTAAGTGTAATAAATGTTTATATAAATAGAAGCATACTTAAAGAGAGTTTCTACCTTTAAAAGTTCTATATATTTTTGCATTTTTTGAATCCTCTATGTATCTAAAATATGTGTAAAGAGATTTTTGGAAATTTGGAAAATCTTCAAAGTTAAACGCTATTGAATAAGGCGTAGAGATAAAATCTTGATCTCGGAGCGCAGGTATAAAATTGTTTAGTTGACAAGTTAAATAACCTTCTTTAGACAATTTCAAACCGAAAAGAAGTCTGTATCACCGTTACCAAGGAAATCAGTTTGAAGACAAAATCGAAAAACTAAAATC